TGAAATGTGAGGATTGCTATGGTAAGGATCAATTGAGAGAAATGATCGATTAAGATTAATCAATTGAGAAACGCCGTTGTTGAGGGTTTGAAGAACAATAATAGGCAAATAGGAGGTGAGGTTGATAACTTATACCAGATAAAATGACAATAAAACATAAGTGTCTCTGAAAAATTGAAAACAAACAAACAGTCTGAATGGTCTTAACTCTTAACGAATCAGACATAAGAGGCTGATAAGAGTTTTTCTATTAAAAAAACAGAGAATTATGTCTTCTAATTGCAGGTTTTGATATCGCGAACTTACTCCATGTTAATGGCTTTTGTTTGATCAATTTAAGCATCAGATTCGAATGTAATTGCTTAATTGGTTGATTGATTACGCCAATCGGCGTGATTTGATGATTTCAAGCTACTTAATTTTTGCCCTAATTGGTGGTGGCTTTTGGGTTTGGATCGAGTTTTCAGGGTTTATGAAAAAGGACAGAACAGGTCCACCAAGTTCTTTTCGTTTTTCACTTTTGGCACATGTTCAGAATTCGTCACTCATTCTAATAGTTCCATTAAGAGACAACATCTAAATTGTTAAGAGGTGAATCTTGTTTGACAAAAAAAAATCTGTCTCTTGATGGTTCTAAAACCCTCTGCTTGATTTTGTACCCTGAACCTCTCTTAACCATTCAACGTCCTAATTTCATTGTAAACAATTACCACTTAATCATTCTGCACCAAACCATTCAGCAACTGTCAAACAGCCCTTATTACCAACCACTTTAGGAAAATGAGTGTATTTAATTATATTACATTGATTTATTGATAACTGGTATCGAATAAGCATGAGAATGATCAAGAATCTTACGTCATAATAAAAACAACAAAGACCTATAATCTTATCTGATAATAAACATAGTAAGGATCACGAATTTTATTATGATAATAAATATAACAAGTACTGAGAATCTTACCTGCTAATAAATATAGTAAGGACCAAAAATTTTACCCAGTAAATGAGTTAGAAGACTATTACCATATTAATGTTTACCAACAATCAATTTTGATGGGTGAAAATGTTACCTGATAAGAAAATGATGGTTGATAACTCTTGTAAGCATTGATAAACGACCCCTTATTCCCTTGCTTCTATAAAAATCAACGATCTTAATGTATCATTATACGCGACAAGTGCATAATTAAACAAATGAGAACCTTAAAACATATACAAATCATGGGACACAGTGAATTATGTGTTGTTTCATATTACGAAACAACAAATAAATGTAAAACAAGAATATTTGAAACAATATCTTAAAACGCAGATGAAAAAGAATTCATCTGAGGGAATATATTGTTACTGGTTTTTATAAGCTTATAATATTTCTTGTGATACTCACATGATTGGGCCCCACGTAAGATATTCAATTTCAATTATATGTGACGTAAAAATTGTCTTGATAGACTGTAATCATTGTGAAAATAATAATTAAAAAATGGGAACGAACAATGTAAAGAGTTGTTCATATATTTTATATGTACGTTGGATACAAAACCCGTGCTAAGTTAACGGAATTCGATCAATCATTTCATAAGGTATTATCATTTTATGTCAAAATCATATTCATTGATCGAAGCAAACATGTTTTTTTGTTATTTTATACTCTTTTGTAAGGATACGTTTAATATATATATATATATATATATATAGAGAGAGAGAGAGAGAGAGGGGTGAGTTATTATACAACCTCTTATATTTGTACAACCAATACAATTCAATCTCAACCGTTCATTTAATTTGATGAATATGTAATTTCATAGAAATTTTGATTGTTTTATAATATAAAGTATTGATCATAATTAATGAACCTTATTCAYCTTCCATAAATATTTAAATCATAATAAATGAACTCTCAACATTTTCATAAATATTTCAATTTATTGAGTTGCAATGGTTGTACAAATGTGATATATATATATATATAGGGTATATTTCAAATGCAACCATGTCCATTTGTACAACCAATGCAATCCAATCAATTGAGATATTTATGAAAATGATGAGAGTTCATTTATTATGATTTGGATATTTATGAAAAATGACTAGGGTTCATTAATTATGATCAATACTTTATATTAGGAAACAATTAAAACTTTTATGAAATCACATATTTATCAAATTAAATGGATGGTTGAGATTGAGTTGTATTCGTTGTACAAATGTAAAATGTTGTATAATAACTCACCTCTCTCTCTCTCTCTCTCTCTCTATATATATATATATATATAAGTATGAAACATCAGCGAAGTAAAATTAATTGAGTGCGAAAAAAATATACTTCTTTGTGACGGAACAACAATTGTACAACATAATAATTATGCCCACTAAATTTATTAGAGCTGATGTGATGGAATATCTCATTTGATGGAATATCTCATTTGTCCAGGGTTCAATTCCAGCCATACATAATAATTATGCCCACTAAATTTATTAGAGCTGATTTCTTACGGTTACAATTTTCCGGGATTAGTCCGGACATAACTTGAGACACCCTTAAAAAATAGATTGAACAAAATTCAGAAAATGAGAATTTTTTTAGTAAATTACTAAAATATCTACGTGAAACAAAAATCCTATTAGAACATCTCCAATAGGTTCTCTAAAATAAAGATTTTAGATACTTTTGTTTGAATAGATTTTTCAAAATCTTTTCTTAAATAAAGAAAATATGAGAGAGAAGGAAATTTCCAAATTTGGAGGTTTTTCTCAAAATGATTACTTATGAGAGTGAAATGGTATTTTTACTGATTCTACGGATAAAACTGCTTGAAATTATATGTCTATGAAAGAGAAATGATATCTTATGAGTTGTATTAAGTACTTCAGTAATATAATTAATTGTGTAATCAATTATTTTGAAGATTTTGATTTTGGAGATGAATTAAGAGCATATCTAATAGATTCTCAGTAGAGAAGTTGAAAATTTTGGAGAGTTTTATACTCCAATAAATTCTCCAAAATGCAAAAAGTAAGAGAGAGAAAATAAAATTTCCAAATATGGAAAACTTTCCAAAAATAACTACTTATAAAATCTATATTATATTATAAAGCATTTGACAAAAACTTTTAAAAACTATATTTTATATATAAAATACTGTATATTGATGCATATTACTTAAAATTCAAGATTACTAGTAAATTATGCATAAATACAACTTATTAAAGCTTCATGTTTGAATTCGTGTAACTAACTGCGGATAAACATGATTAAATAGATGATAAACATCTCATCTTAAAATATAAAAAATCTAAAATATAATTAAGATAATGATTGAGTTCTAACAAAATAGTTAGTTATTATCTTTATAAGAAAATTATATTATTAAACCAAATATAAATTACTTTTTTATTAAACCTNAAAATTATATTATTAAACCAAATATAAATTACTTTTTTATTAAACCTAAAATAAATTATAATAAAAAAATTGAATTAAAAAATTACACAAAAAATAAGAATTTTAAATAGTTAATTTGATACTAATATCGATATACTTTTGTCCAATTTTTATGATATCTTCAAGTTTATATTTTTTCAAAAATAAAAACATTATCGTTTTTTCAAAATCACATAAGACCATACTATAACATTGAATGAGATAAAGAATAAAATGAAATATTAAAATTAAAATATATCTCGCTGTATTACACCAGTACCTTTCTAGTCATCATAATGCTATTTTAGTATCACCACGAATAAGAGTTTTGAAATTAAGGTGACGTTTGTTTTTTAAGAGGTGTTGAATTCTGAAAGTCTTATTTCACTTCTGATTAATAAGATGTGGTGTTGATGTCTGAAATTTGAATCAACAAAACTGTTTGTTTTTTGTAAACTGAATACTGTCTGAATTTGTTTAAATTGTCTATTTTACTGATTAGAAAATTATAATGTTAAATTTATAGATAAATTTATACAATTTCACATATTTATTCATCATCATTACGAAATTTATATTTAAATTATATAATTAGCATTCATTTAAACGAAAATATGTCATTAACAGTATTTAACACATTTAAATCCTATTAAAATACACCAATTGAAAGATGTGAGGATGGATTTGGTAATGATCGATTGAGATAGATAATCGATTAAGATTAATCAATTGAGAAACATTGTTGCTAAAGGTTTCAAGAACAATAAGAGGCAAATAAGAGATTGGTTTAACTCTTACCAGATAAGACGATAATAAGATATAAAGCGCCTCTGAAAAATTGAAAAAAACAAACAGTCTAAATGACCCAATATCTTAACGAATCAGACATAAGAGGCTAATGAGAGGTTTTTTTTCAAAAAACAAACAAGGCCTAAATCTCTACGAGAAAAAAACAATATTTTATTAGATGTATTGAATATTTTAATATTATAGTTGATATTAAATGAAAATTCTGTTCGAGTGAGTGATTTTTTTTTTTTTTTGAGATTTTGATTTTTGAATCTCTAATTTAAATAAAATTTCAAGAATCTGTTGAAGATAATCCAGTATTTGATAATTTCTTACTTCAGTCTAGTTTAGTCCCATTAAATTCTATCTGTGTACCATAATAAGATTGATAATCCGTTTACCCGAACATTTGCTCATATTTAATGGTAAGATTCAACATTATCACTAAGCTTACTTGGTAAGATTTTAGTTCATAAAAATAACATCGTATGTAACAATTTATCGGTAAATACTAACGAGATAAGAGACGTCGTTATTCTCACTTACTGGACAAGACTCTCGTCATTTACCATCATTTCTACCAGATAAAATTCTTGATTCTTATCATATTTATTGATAAAGCAAAGTGATTTGATAAATGTTAAATAAGGAAATAAATAAAATAATAATATAAATAAATAAGTGACAATTGTACCTGGCAGGTACCCCTACCTGTACGCACATCCTTCTTTCCACCTGTATATTTATACTCGCATTTGCCCACCACTTCTCTCTCCCATTCACACACACAAACACACACTTGGCCCCTTCACCTCAACAAGCGACAGAATATACCATGAAGAAGTTGATTCGCCGCCTCTCTCGCGTCGCCGACTCATCTCCCTACTCTCTCTTACGATCGGAAACTCGTTCTTCACCTACCGTTGCACCTCGTCTCTGCCAATCCTTCCGATTAGCCAAATCACGCCGCTCCGCCGCCGTACCAGAGGGACATCTACCGGTCTATGTCGGAGAAGAGATGGAACGATTCGTGGTGAGTGCAGACCTATTAAACCACCCGATTTTCATCAATTTGCTCAATAAATCTGCTCAAGAGTACGGTTACGAACAAAAAGGCGTCCTTCGGATCCCTTGCCATGTCCTCGTTTTCGAACGTGTTCTCGAAGCTTTACGAGCAGGAAAAGAAGCGTCTCACAACCTACAAGAGCTTATTTCCGATGAATTCCTGTAATAGTTCGATGTTCTTTTAGTTTTTTTTGCCTAATCGATTATCTTGCCAAATAGTGAGGTTAGGTCAGATCGGTTGATGATGATTTACAAAATTATCGAATCAAATCAAATCGGTTTTTAGTTTGGCTTGTATATACACAACAACTTCAATTCCTCCTTTTGTGGAGGTAATTTCGTCAGTAAAATCTGTGTTTTCTGCTGATTGATTTCGTACAGATTCATTGCTCCCGTTTGATTTATGTGTTTAATTATCATAAACTTGGCTTATAGCCGATTAGTTCTTCAAATCTGGCGATCATAACAATGCTTGTTTTAGAATTCTGATATTGAATCGTCTCGTTTACATTTTCTATTAATTATGATTATGTTCGTGTATTGAAGGACAAGCTAATAATGTGATTTGGTGGAAAATCTGTGTCTGGAATGGTATCAGGAGAGTGTAGAAAACAAGGTTCTGGTACTTGACTTGAGAGTAGAAAGGAAGGAACAGGAGTGACACCGAAGACCGACGATAAAAAAGGTGTGTTGGAGGTTCCTCTTTCGCTTGGACAGAGGCTACGGAATGTGTCACGTCATTGAGAAAGGTGCCCTTCCGACCGTTTTCTCTAATTTCCGTGGCTCCATGTCTCAGACTTCCGTATTGCACGGTGCGTTGAAAATTATTTTATTACTTTTCTTTTTCCAATTTTTTTAAATATTTTCTCAATATAATTTTATATTTTTTATTTTAAAATTATCCTAAATAAAAATATTTATTTTGTATTTAAAAAGTTGCTAATTTTTTAGGATCTTGTAATTATTACATTTTTAACTAATAATAAGAAATATGTAGATGTTTAATTTAATATTTATTTTAGGACAAACTAAAATATAAATGCAAACACTTATTTTAAGACAAAAAGTAATTACTTTTTGGCTGTTTACAAATTTTTTACCTGGTAAATACTTACTGATAGAAGTCACCACCTTTACTTATCATGTTTAGGTAACATTCTCGACTATTAAAATAAATTGTCGGTAAGCTTTTTTTGTCCAGTAAACGTTTACTGGATAAAGTCTTCTTTTTCACATACCAGGTAAAATTATCGGTCCTTTTATTGAGTAAAATCCTCAATTATTATTACGTCTTTTATCAGGTAAGATTCTCAGTGTTTGTCATATTCAATCGGTTAGGTAAGTAACACACACAGTTAATCGGCCCCTTAAATGTGAGATGAATAAACCCATTAAAATATCTCCAATGAGTACGTTATATTTTCTCTCTTTTCTTTCAAATTTGGTTAATTTTAATAATTTTGGAGGAGAGTTTAACATAGTTGTTGGAGTAAATTTTTTCCATGCCGTTAAAACTTCTAAAATAACATATCTATTAAAGATACTCTTATTTTTACTATTATTATTAAAAAGAACCATTCTTTAGTTGATTTAAAACTATAATAGTTATATAAAATCTAAAATTATGGGGTTGTTTGATAGTTGCTGAATGATTTACTATATAATAATTAAATGGTCAGAATGATTAAGAGACTCTCATGATATAATACAAAAGTAAATATAATTTTGGTAAATGTTTACGATGGAATTAGGGTGCTGAAAGCTTAAAGGAGACTCAAAATACAAAATCATTCAAAGGGTTTAAAAATCATTAAAAAACAAGCTTTTTTTTGCTAAACAAAAATCATTTTTTAATGATTCAGAGACTACTCTTGATTGAAACTATTAAGAGGTAAACGAACAACCCTTATATGTATCATCGTAGTCTATATTTTAATAAAATTATTAATTAATTATTAACAAAAATTAAGATTAATTAATAAAAATTAAGTAAATATAAATAATATATTGACGGTACGGAAGGAATCACAAAAATGGTGGGAGCTGGAAGCCTCCATCCCGTGAATGCAGTGTACATCTGTAACTTGTTTTATTTTATTTTATTTTTTGTTTTGGACACTTTATTCCAAAACTATCACATTTTTTTTAATTAATCAATATTATCACTTAATATTTGATTTGTTTTCATTATTATTATATAATTAATTAAAAATGAAACTAAAATTAAAATTAAAATTACATATATAGGGACCTAATATTAAATGGGAACTGTTTTGTTTAAGGTAACCATGAGATCCAATTTTAACCATAAATCAAAGGTTAAATTAATAAATTAATAATTTTGATAATTTTAACTAAAAATAATAATTAAAGGCATTTTAAGGATTTTATAAATATCCTCTCTACTCTTTTCTCTTTCCGGCGAATCTTATTTCGATGAACCTTATGTGAACACAAAATATATTGTGATACCTACAAACGATATTCACTGTGATACCCGGATATAATACAAAATGCACAATGTGATATCATTTGAAAAACAATAAAAATAACGAAAATGCACATTATGATACATTTCATAAAGGGCAAATTGCATGAAAAAGTAACGTACTTTAACTTGATTCCTATTTTAGGTAATGTACTTTCAAAACTTCCATTTTGATACCTAAGATGTAAAGTTTTAAACATTTAAGTACCCGGGTAACCCGGAAAGACTAATTTTAGATTTTAAAAAATTCACGTTATTGACCACGTCAGCAAATAATACTGAGTTGGATACCACATCACTCGCCACATCAATATGGTAATCGATTAATACTTCAACCAGTTACCCGGGTACTTAAATGTTTAAAATTTTACATCTTAGGTACCAAAATGAAAGTTTTGAAAGTATGCTACCCAAAATAGGAATCAAGTTAAAGTACGTTACTTTTTCATGCAATTTGCCCTTTCATAAAAGAAAGAAAATACATTGTAACTAATTATAATTAAATATTTTCTTCTAAAAAATTTAATTAGATATTTTGATTAATTGTCAAAAATTGACTTAGTATATTATAATTTTAGCTTATTTAAGAAATATCCATAAATATCTTAAACAAATAGTTCACATTAGATCTTACAGTTACCACAAATTAATCAGTTATCTCTTGAATGCGTTTATATATATATATATATATATAGAGAGAGAGAGAGAGAGTTTGTTTCAAATACAACTTGTCTCATTTGTACAACCAATACAACCCAATAAACTGAGATATTTATGGAAATGATGAAAGTTCATTTATTATGATTTGAATATTTATGTAAGATGAATATGGTTCATTAATTATGATCAATACTTTATATTAGGAAACAATCAAAACTTCTATGAAACCACATATTAATCAAATAAAATAGATGGTTGAAATTGAGTTGTATTGATTGCACAAATGTCAAAGGTTGTATAATAACCAACCTCTCTCTCTTTGTATTTATATATATATATATATATATATATATATATATAAATAAAATATAGATTTGATGTCGTAATCCACATTGCAAAATCCGGTGACACGGACTCCGCCATTACGTACAAAACATGCCGTATCATCTACAGCTTCGCTACCAAAAATCAACAAATTAAATATTAAAAAGAAGAATGTAATTAATTTAATATATTTTTATATATTTTAATCTCTAATATTTATAAAATTATATATCTCTGTCATTATTAAAGCTATTTAATATTTAATCATTCTTAGCGTTTCCCACCGTGTTCATATGGTGGTACGGACTACGGACCATCGTTTTGTTCTTCCTCCGTGATGTAAAAAATTATAGGGTCGTAAAAAGTATTACCGTATCAATTTGTTGTGTGTTACCGTATATATTTTAAAACTATAATGACGAAACAGATTTCTCTTGGTAGAGCTGGTTTGCAAGGTTTTTCTTCTACTCCAGACCTAATTTTGGTCTTGTTTGTCTCATTTTAGGACCTCACTTATAAAAATCAATAAACTAACCAACATGCCAATGATAATTTGTGAAAAATATACATATATTTGTTTCTTATAGACAAATGATTTCATCACTTAGAAAAAAATTACGTTTGTATCTGATCATTTTTGTTAAAAACTATATGTTTTTTGTTCAATAAAAAAGCAAGTATTTAGTAAACATTTTTTAGTTATCGAATACTTAAAAAGATAATATTATATGTATTTCTTTAACGTCAGAATCATGATAAATATTATATTGAAAATGTAAAAAGTAAGATTTGAAGTTGATATGTGTGAGGAGATCATTCTTTAATTAAAAACGTAATTTCAAGAAGTAAAAATATTATATATTTTAAGAGCAAATTAAATGAAAAAGTAACGTACTTTAACTTGAATCTTATTTTGAGTAACGTACTTTTAACACTTTCATTTTGATATCTAAAATGTAAAGTTTTAAATATTTAAGTACTGAGATAACTGGTTGAAGACTAATTTTAGATTAAAAAAAGACTCATTTTAATTTAAAAAAAAATCAATGTCACTAACCACGTCAGTAAATAATACTAAGTTAAATATCACATCATTCACTACCTCAGTATATTAAAAAGTTATGGTTTAACTATTATATTTGGATAATTAGTGATTGTTTTTTTACAAACAACCAAAGAATACTACAAGCGTCCTGCAATTCGTGGCGTTAGAGTAACGAAGTGTAGAAATAATATATATATATATATATATATATATATATATATAATGTTAATATGAATGTTTGATTTATGATGTATAATTTAATTATTTGATTAATAATATGTTTGTTAGAAAAATACCATCTCACTTTAATATTATATTACAAGTCATTGTATATCTTGTTTTTATTTTTTATTTTTTAAATAGACAAAAATATTATTTACATCAACAGTTGAGATTGGTTTGAATATGAAACTCTCTATCTAGATAAGTGTGCGTGTGTACACACATATATATAGAGGGGGGAGATTAAATGATAATGCTAACTATTTATGAGAATATAAAAACGGTCAAATCACATGCAAAATCATATATGATTTTACAATAACACTCGAAAAAAGGTGTGTAGACGACTTTAGCCGTGTCTTCAAGTCACGGGGTAAAGTTGCGTGAATCACATGTGATTTTATACGTGATGTTAGTGTAAAATCACATGTGATTCAACCGTTTTCTTATTCTCTTGAATAAGTACCGTTCTCGTTTGAACCTCCTCTCTTTCTTTCTCTCTATATTTGTTGTGTATGAATCTTTGATTTATGATGTATATTTCTTTATTTTAAAAATTCACTCGTATTTTAAATTAAATCTTCCAATATATATATATATATATATATATATATATATATATATGCATTGACATGAAGGACTTGAAGGGTTCGACAAGTATTAAAAAATACTTAAAAAATAAAAAATTATAAGTAATTTGGTTGCATGTTTGTATTTATTAATGTTCTCATTTAAAAAAAAAAAAAGACTTAGAATTTAATTTAATATACTCCACTGCATCACAACAACAAATAATTGTAATAATTTATTTATTAAAAAATAATATTAATAATTAATTAATTAATTAAAGAAAAATAAGCATCCATTTATCCTCTATCCTCAAATCAGAAGTAGATCAAATATTGAAAGTAAATAATTATATATTAAATAAAATAGGAATAAATATAAAAGATAAATAAAAAAAAGAGGCACCAAATATAAATGAATTAATAGGTGGAATTTAGGTAAAATAATTTAATGTTTTCACACATTTAGTGTTTTACTCCTACTAAAACTTTTCTTTTTAATTTATTTATTTATTGGTGTAAATATATAATATATAATATAAATCACCACTCTTCTAAGTTGTAAAAGATTGGTTACATTTTAGAACTCAATGATTTTTTTTTAAAAATAATTAATATTTTAAATAAGTATGGATATATCATATGATCTGATTTTTAATTCCTTTCAAGTTAACATGAATCTTGTTCATATATAGTTAGCTTTAATGCCAATTTTGTTTTTAATCTTATATATATATATATATATATATATATATATATATATTAGAAGAATAGTCGTACAATACAACAAGATACATCTTGATTTTAATATTTTGTTTTATTTATTTTTGTCTCAGTCGATGTTATAATACTGTTTTATATAGTTTTGAGAAAACGATAATGTTTTTATTTTTGAATAAAATATAAATATAAAGATATTATAAAAAATTGAAAAAAAAATATTGATATTAGTATCAAACTAACTTTTTAAATTTTTTATTTTTTTATATTTTAATTTATTTTTTATTTTTGGTTTGATAATATAATTTTTTATGAGTATAATAATAAGTATTTTATTAGAACTTAATAATTATTCTAATTATATTTTAGATTTTTTATATTTAAAATGAGATGTTTATCCTCTATTTGAGTATGTTTATACGTTGTTAGTTGCATAATTCAAACATGAAGCTTTAATAAGTTGTACTTATACACAATTTACTTGTAATCTTAAATTTTATGTAATATCTATCAATAAACAATATTTCAAGCATAAAATATGGTTTTTAAGAGTTTTGAAACTTCACAGCAAAACAATGTTAAAGTTGTTTTTGCTGTAAATGTTCGGGTTTTTTTTTATCTTCACAACATTTTGTTGTAAATTTTCAAGTGTAAAAATAATGTCTCACGTGTTTTACAAAAATAACATTTTCTCACATGAACCAACCATATATATATATATATATATATGTGTGTGTATGTGTATATATATATATATACGTGTGTGTATATATATATATATATATGAAAACGTGAAAATATAAATCATACTTACGTACTTTCTATAATGTCAATAAAACAATATTACATATAAAAATGTGGATATAACCGACATATTTACGTATTTATATAATATTTATATCCAGCAGATAACTTACATTTTCTTCGTATATGGTGAGAAACTATTGATCTTTTAGAATATTGGAGTCCACTCGTGACTTGGATACTGTTGGATATATGTTATTTCACATGGGGTTAAGGCATTGTTTGAGGAGATAGTGGGTCCCAATCAATACGTACCGTCAACTATGTAGATCGTATGTTTATTGGCTGAAAAAGGTCGACTAGTCTATACAAGAATGACGTTATATCTACTTTGGACATATATATGTTATCAGGGAAATTGACTCAAATAGTCATTCCATTCATTTAAATTGGTCTCTTAGTCATTCATCTCCCGAATTTACCTAAATATCACTATGGCTGCAATATCCACATCCATAATATTGCGAACCTGACTAAAGACAAAAACAAAATTAAAATTCACCAAGTTAGCAAGTAGCACCATCACAATTGCAATCCTGGACGTCATAATTGCAGACCTGGCCGTCGCAATTGCATACCTGGGCTAAATTTGATAATTTTTTTTGCCTTTTAACCAGGTCCATAATTGCATACCTAAATGTCACTATATCTGCAATATCTATAAACACTTATTTTATGATGTAGAAATTTTTTTTTTTTTTTTGAAAAACAAGAGTCCAGTAAATTTAAATGCATGATCATCCATTCCATATAAAGCTTATTTGAAAGTATTTTTTTACACTAAATCCATTAAATATTTTTTAATCATATAATTCATATAAAATAAAAAAAAATACTATAAATAAATATAATTATTGATACAAATTTTAACTTTTTCTCTCTTCTTTTAAAAAATATCGATAAAATATGTTGGAAATCTCATGACCAGTGTCAATCAGTTTGGACAATATTTTAGAAAAGGACGAAAAGAATATGGCGTATTGTACGGACTGGATCACCAGCTTCAAACAAGAAGATTTAAACGTATAACTTTCTTAAGTCCTTCGGGCCTAACATTCAAAAGTTTTAAGAAGTCTCATTTCGACGATTATAATTCTTTTTGTAAGATTTAATAAAGATTCGGGTTTTATAAGTTTTTTTGGAAGAACCAGATTTTTGTCGAGCCGTAATCAAAGGATCTATGCACACTCAAAGGCGTAAAGTGGTAATTTGAGGACCGTCTCTACGAAATGCCCATTCCACCCTTTGTTTTTATTTAGATCATGTTTAATAACCGTAAGTTAGCTTATTCAATTTTTTTTTACAATCTATAAGTATTAAATAATCATATTATATTATTAATTATTTGTTTTTTAATTATATTATGAAACGTTACGGTCAACAAAATTTTTACAAGTCACCTTTGATTATTTTATAATTTTCAACAAGTTTTTTAGTTTTGGGCAAATTGTATGAAAAAATAACATATTTTAACTTGATTCTTATTTTGGATAATGTACCCTAAAAACTACCATTTTGTTATCTAAGATGACAATTTTTAAACATTTAAGTACCGAGGTAACCGATTGAAGCATTAATTGGTTACGATGTTGATGTAACGAGTGATGTGGTATCCAATTATGTATTATTTAATAACATGAATATCTTAATCTAAAATTAGTTTTTATATATTGTGGCTTATTACAAGAAAGAGTTGATGCTTTAACTAATTACCTGGATATTTAAATGTTTAAAACTTTACATCTTAGATACTAAAATGAAAGTTTCAAAAGTACGTTACTTTTTTATGCAATTTACCCTTTAACTTTTCTTAAACATAATTTATCAACTAACTTTTTAGTCACCAACTATCTTATCAACCAACAACCATAACTTTAAAGAAAAATGTGTAATAAGATTTAATGGTTGTCATGGAATCTATACCATCAATTAATATTCATCCATCACTACAACTCTCATCAAAATTCATCTACTTATGCTTCTCTTCAACAACAAAATTTGTAACCCTTGAAACACACTGAAAAGCAAACCCTATCTGGTTCTTTGTTTCTTTTGCTTCTTGTACTCTTTATAAAGTTGCAAACCCAATTTCGTTCGTTCCAATTCCCGTCTCAACCTCCTGTTTTCTTCCACATCGTGAACGAGCAAAAAATGTTCCGAGAGTTTGGTTCTCACCGCCAGCTCGTCCACCATGTCTCCTCCACCAGCTGCCGCTAACGGTGGTAGCCGGTTACCCTTCTTCCGCTTGTTGTTAGATTGCTTTTGGTTGGTTTTTGGAGCGAAGGTTTCGTTGTCAAGCGACATGTCGATGAACGCTTGCTGAGGAGAGACGTTTGATCGATAGACTTGATCGTGAGCATTGGTAATCGTTGAAATCCCGGATGCCATTGTTGACACAGATGGATGATAATGTTTAGATAGAAGGGTTAACTCCCAAAGAACTGTTGCAAATGCACCACTTAGGCTTGGATCTGAAGCATATGGCTGATATTTCTGCAAAAAGGGTACAAAATTATCAGCAAACTACATAGGTTCCAGTATATCTCATCTGTCCCGAAATAATAGTGTCTATATTTCTATTTGTTACCTACTTAATGGAACTTTCAGCTTAATCGGTTAGTTATATATGATTGTTTGGTAGTGACTTTAGAATGTGGCTTATTCGGTAAGCTTATAAGATGGAGCCAAATTCTTTCCAAACTCGCCCCTCCCAACTAAAAAACACGCTCATTTCATCTTATGAAACGACCCTTAGAAGTAGGGTCTTGGGGGTAAGATGTACACACACCTGACCTCTACCCATAAAACTCGAGCAGTTATTTCTGTGAAGGCCTCTAACTCGGATGTAGTGACAAAACATAAGAAGTATTTGTTCAACTAGTGGAAGGACATAGGGTCCAAGAAACGGCTCAAAGGGACAGAGAGGTTCAGATGGGCAGATCTAGAGATGGAAATTTTACGGTTACACGGGTACCAGAACCTAATGGGGCATGATTCCCTGCTTTGACGGGTAACAGGGAGGGGACGGGATCAATTTTCATACCCGATGAGGGGGCGGGGATGCATTACCCGCCCCTAATCCAACCCCAATTATTTTTATTTTATTTTTCTATATATGTATATAATGTGTGTATAAATATATATGTATGTATGTATATATTTACTATATAATGACAAATATATTTGATTTTCAATATTGGTAATTAATGTAGCGACAGTTCATTATAATTTCAATTTAAAATACATTGTTTTTTACTAAATGGGTACCCAACGGGTTTCCCAAACCCACCGGGATTCCTTCCTCAGGTAGTAATCAGGGGGGGGTCGAGAAAGGGGGATCCATTTCCCGCCCAATACCCACCCTTTTCCATCCCTAGGCAGATCCTTAACGGTCTCGAATCCAGGCTTAGAAAACTGGTCCAAACAAGGACAACTCCGGCTGAGACTGCGGACCGGTTTCTTGGGAGGACCATGACCGGGGGCGAATCATCATAGACACCTTAAGGTCCAACAGTGTGCTTCTTGTTACTTTTACAATTTGACAATTATTAATTGTGATGATTTTGTTCTATCTGCTATATCATGAGATAATACTTTTATATATATAGTTAATCATCTAAACGTTGAGGTGTATAATTAAATTTGAGGCTGTATTATTTTAAAGTTACTAACAGAATACAACACTTGAATGGCACGCAGTTTTAAAAATATATTTCATTGTCGAATGTCGATCAAATTTCTGAAATACCCTTTAACAAAGACAATAAAGAAAATTTGTGGACATAAATAGAAGTTACTAATTTCATATAATGAATCACTAATACCAACAAAAAAGAAACCTACCATTTTTTGGGAAAAAACTTATATAACAAGTGTTTTTTCTTTTTTCTGGGATGGAAGGAGTAATAAATTATATCAAAACAATAACTTAAGAGACTCTTACCGCGATAGAACCTGAAAGTGATCCACCTCCAGCATCATTTTCCAATAGATCGCGGCATTTGACATTCTTCTGAAGGAGATGCTTTAAGGTAACCAATGCTGCATGGCACGAGATTAAGAGTTTGATCAAGTATTTACACACCAAGGGCATCTCGAGTGGGTAACACCAAACCCATAAAATTGGTGTAAAATTTGATGCAAACAATAAATCTTCTTCAATGAGTAACACCAAACTGTAAGATTCTAGGTATATTTAGGGGTGTGCATAACCCGAAACCCGAACCGAAAATGAGGTGTTTGTGCAAAAACCCAAATTATCCTTCAAAAACCTAAACCCTAGTCGGTCACACTCTTTTCTAAAGACTAAACCTACCATCAATTTCATCAATCCTTTTATTGAATTCATCCTCAAAATCGATTGAATATTAGATACTTTTTGCATATAACTATACGCGAACCCGACCGACCCCAAACCGAAGCAATTCAAAATCCGAAACCCAAAATTCAGGGCTTGGTTTCGATATCCACCCAACCGCCCAATGCACACCCCTAGGTATATTCCTTTCAATCTTCTCCAATTGTTGTAAATGAATAGTGTTACGCCAAATTTGGTGCAACATTTGGTGTCCCATTCGAGATGGTTTATCAGTGCAAGCATTTGAGGAGTGAAGGGTATACCAGCCATGGATTCTGCAGCTCCAAAGCACAAAGAGAACGATGCCAGACGTTTAATGAATGCAGCAGCCCGTTGCATGTCATGTTGTCTATCATCACATAACATTACCTTCATAGCTTCAGCCAAGACTTCCCCCTGATCTCTATTCATTTAAAAGTCATGCTTCAATATACCAACCCATCCCACACTGATAGAAAATTAGATTTGTAAGCTCCTTATAAGCTCAATGTTGTGAACTACCAATAACTTTCACCATGGTCTTAACGAAGGTTGGAAGTTATTGGGTCAGCCTAGTGCTTTGGGCTATGAGGAATTACAAATGGTATCAGAGTCTATCCTTGTACCATCGGAATGGTGGGGAAAACCTCATTGAGCATGATGAGTCCCAAAGTGTGCAGGAGGGAGGGAGGATTTGTAACAAGAGGCGGACCCAGAAAATTTTCAAGTGGTACCACAATTTTGACTATAAAAAATATATAATTTTTTTTACGATTTTGGTATAGACCTGTTCATTGGTTCCTTGTCCTTACATAAAAGAGACACGTTAAATTCCGCTCTACATATATTTTTTAAAAACACGAGGTGAATAAAAAAAAGTAAGCTAAAAAACAACAAATTTGACAACTACGGGACTCGAACCTAGGCCTTTTGTACAAAAGCAAGAGCATTTACCACCTTAGCCATTAAAGTCTTCTTGTGCCAACATTTCAGTTTCAAAAACTATATGGTGGCACCCGACACAACAATACGGTGGCACTGTTCAGAAACATAAATTTTTCCCTTACGACGGAACCTGAAGCAATGGCCCGTGCCACCGTATCATTCCTTGTGGCCCACCCCTGGTTGTAACATCTTAGGTGAATCTCACATCACCGACGAACAAGAAGGATGCCGAGAAGGGCGTCAGGAATTTATGTCGGTGGGTTTGTATCGCATGAAGAGAAAATTAGATATGTGAGCCCCTTATAAGCCCAAAATCGTGGGCTACCAATAATTTCCACCATGGTTTTAAGTTAATTTGGAGGGTTTTGGGTCAGCCTACTACTTTGGGCTATGGTGCATTAAATTAATGGACAAAAATTGCATCTATCTGAAATTTTATATGGTACTAACCTTCCAGGCCTGTACTCAAGTATGAGATTATAGAGTTGAATGAAGAAGTCCTGTAAATCAACGTTTAAGGCATCAAGGTTGTTCCTCATCACTTTGAAAGCAACTATGCAGCACCTTAACCGTTCAGACACAGTCAAACGACTTGAAAAATTCTCTGATGGACGATTGGCATCAATACTTCCTCCAGCAAGCCTTCTAAGGTAGTTCATGAGATCAGCCATGAAATCCAAATCGATCAGATGAGAAAATTTTCCAATTCCATTCAAACATGGAGCAAGAAGTGGATGCTCCCCAAATGGACTGGCTGGAAATCCATTTGCTTCCGATCTGAATCGATAAAAATGAAAATAAATATAAGTGAAATAAGAGCATTGATAGTTGAGACGATATTATAAACTGTCGAGGGAAAACGTGTATGTAGAACATACCCTGGCCGCATGGCATGCTTTAAAATACGGAAGTATGTTTGAAATACAGAAGAAAGAGTATCAGACTGTATCCTTCTTTTTTCCATTGCATCTTGGGCAAATGATGCAGCCATGAACTCAGCTTTTACCTGAGCAGCATATGAATACATCAACCTTAAATAGAAGAACTAAATAATCCATGTAGTAGGAGGTTCAAATAAGAAGGCTAAATATCGTGAAAAGGTAAGAAGGGAAGGTTAAAAAAAGGTGCATATGTGAACCCATTTGAATAATGTCGGTTTACACACGCATCTTCAAATAGAGTGTTTCGGGATTCTTTTCAGTGATTTACATATAAACCTTCTCTTAACCTTCCCTTCTTACTTCGATACACACACACACACACACACACACATATATATATATATATATATATATATTTATATAGGGTTGGGTTCCGGTGAGAAGGGAAGTTATGGTGAGAAGCGTAAGAAGAGATCTCCACCCTTGGATCAATCCTAATTGAATGTCAACACTAATGAGGTCCACCGAGATGCACTGGATCAATTCCCTTCTAAACCCAATTCATCGGTGCGTAAGATATTAAAAGTGATCAAGAGTTCAAATCTCTTCTTACACTTTTCATCATAACTTCCCTTCTTACACGATCCTTCGCCTATTTATATATAGGGACCGGTTCAAATAAAGGCTAAAAATCGTAAGAAGATAAGATTAAAGTAAGATTCATATGAGAATCAAAGAAAATATATGAAAAAGAGTCTATTTGAAGACGCATATGTGAACTGACATCATAGTTTATTCATATGGGTTCACATATGCATCTTCCAATGGATTTTTTCAATGATTCACATATGAATCTTCTCTTAATGTTCCCTTCTTACCTTCTCATGACATTTAGCCTTCTTATTTGAACCTCCCACCACACACATATACATATATATATATATATATATATATATGGAGAGAGAGAGAGAGAGAGAGAGAGAGAGAAATTGGTAATCAACATGGAAAAGCAAAGTACCTCCTCTCTTGTCTTTGAGATCATTTCCTGCTTACTCTTCTTTTTATCATTTGCTAGCAATTGATTTTTATCCTCATTTCTATTTCCTATCTTATATTTTTTGTTTTTTGCCTTACGGTTAGGTTTTGCAACTTCAGGCTTCCGAAGATCCTCATCAAATGAGAGAGACAAGAAAACCTGCATAAGCAAAAAAGCGAAAAAAATTACAAAAAATCCAACCAGCAAGGTTCCCATACCGTTAATTTTTAGTCCCCATACCAAACATTCACAACACACTTGTTATAATTGTTTAAAGTATTAACATCATCACACTATATTGTGTCCTATGCCAAGGTACATTTCCTAAGAAATACCTAAAAAGATTAAAATTATAAGCATTGAAACTATTACCTCAACAGAATCAGGATGCAAATGACAATCATGATCTTTTACGAGATTTGCAATAAGTTGAACAGCCTCCACAGTAAGTTCACCACCATGTTTTCCCTCGTTTGTGAAAAGTGACTTAATTGCATTGCAACATAGTTTCCTGTTCACATGTATCATGTATGCCAGGCAGAAATGAGTCACAAAGTAAAAAAAAATATCGACACCATAACACATATGTCAAGGAAATGGCAAACTGTTGGTTGCTTTGCATAAAAACCCCAATATTAAATTCAAACATATCTCAAGGGCCGTTTAATAAACACACTTACTAGGTAAGTGATTATCCCTTATCGAATGAGCAAAGGCAAGCACCTAGAATCTTACCCGGTGAGAGGCATGGCAACAACCGAGGTTCTTACCTAGTAAGTGGGGGAGAAGACCCTTACCCAGTTAGCGCTTACTGGGTAAAAGACGCTTACAAACATTCAATTTTGATCGCGGAGAATGTTATCTGACAAGGTGAGGATCCTGACTCTTGCCGGTAAGCGCTTACTCGGTGAGCGTTTGGTAAACGGCCCCTTAGTTCAAAAGGAAACTACTGGTCTCACACACCCTTTAAAATTCATCAAAAACACATTCAAAGCCTTGGAAATCCACAAAAGGCATATATTGCCACAAAAACAAGTGATAGGTGATTCAAGCTAACAATTTATCAAGTTGATTGAGTTTCTGCTGTACAAATAGTAGCCAGTAAAAACGAACATATGAATTCTAGAAAAACTTGTAGGCATACAAGGAGGAATGTGATCCAAGAAAACATGGAAAAAAAGGGAACCCACAAACCAACGATCATCTCCTACTGAATATTACAAAGACCATGAAAGGGTGTAACATCCAAGGCCAACCGTACTAGATGTCCGCTTTGTCCACACCTGACCACAGTTCTAAAACGTGTCTGATAGAGGAGGTGTTTCCTTATAAGGCAACTTTCGTGCCCTTCTCCAACTGATGTGGGATCTTACAATCCACCCCCCTTGGGAACTCAGTGTCCTCACTGGCACACCAGTCCGTTTCCCGCCTCTGTACCATCTCTAACATCCCAGGCTAAGCGTATCAGATATTGTCCGCCTTGTCCACACATGAACTCATGGTTTTAAAAAGCGTCAGATAAAGGAGGTGTGAAGTTCCTTATAAGGCAACCTTTGTTCCCCTCCCAACCGATGTGGGATCTAACAAAAACAATAAAGAGAAATAAGGTAGCGGACCACTAGAAAGAACAACGAAAAATGTAAGCAAGGGATAATAACAACCCCGGTGGGTCCACGTGTGCTCCTGGTCATTATATCATGGTGCTTCCAAATTTCGGTGTCTGAACACATATTTCAAAGATAAATGCTATTTGACACAAGCAAGTATCAACACCGTTCACTCCAGGCTCATAGTTATACAAAACCCACCTGCAACATTTCAAAGTATTTCATTGCACTCCACATTTTTCCACAATCAATAATTTTGTTGTATGTGCTACACCACTAGACCCAGATGAATAAGTATTGATACTCCTAAAGATGGGAAGTAATGCAGACCCACAGATCGCAGATACCAAAACCCCATGGGTAAAAAAGATGTCTAGCAACCAAATGATAATATCTAAGAATTAAAGATGAGTAAATAGGCAGGGACCCCAAAAGATACTCAATAATGAGAAGCATCACTGCTGAAAGACTTCTATGTATTTCAAAGCCACAGATAATATGTCAAAAGACCGTTGGCAAGACAGCCCAAGCAGATTTGGAACAAGTGAAAAACAAATGAGAGTAATAGAGTAGCAAAGATGAGTAAACCTTATGACATCATCTGTGGAGCTTATATTATTTATAACAACTCCCAGTAAGCTCTCGCGAAAATTGAAGCGTGGGTTTGCCTCGAGCAGAGTACATATGCAGCGAATAGCCACACGCTTGAAACTTGATACTTTCTCCAATGCCATCAGTTTCTGGAGGTATGCCTATCAACATTCAACAAAATAAGTTATTAAAAATTTTATGCATGTCATTAAAATCAACAGGTCTTTTTATCGAAACTAGTCAAGGAAAGCCAACTATGAAGGCAAAAGAAATTATCAAGTGGTGAAACGTAATACAAAACAGAAAGAGGTGAACTCTCTACAGTTCCAAGACATGAATAAAATCCTTCTGCACATGAACATCTGGAGCCAACACCTTCGTAGTTCCAGTCACTCAAAATTTTTATCCATTATTTTCCTGCATGCCAATCATGAAACAACATGCAAAACTTTACCAGCATTGATACATATGAACAAGAAAACATTTCCTTTCCTTGGCTAAATGGTCATGATTCTCAAACCAGTTATCAGCTCATGCCAAGATATGTTTGGTCAAGTCCTATACAGCAAACCCTAACTTTATGCATCATAAATAACAGTAGGTCCAATTCTCGACTCCTCGTCCTAAAAGACTTACCTTTTAGCTCAAATCGAACTTCTCGATCACATGCTACTCTTCAAACTTATTGTCATTTCACATTCAGACATGCTTATTGCATCTTCTACTTCATTATCAACATTGCTGAAATTACAATTCAGTTGCACTGTTTCATATCTGCGTAATCTGAAACCTGACTATTAAACCGTTCACCCATACCTCCAATCCCGCACTAAGACATTTTCTAGTCTCATCAACCAACAAGATATCATTAACAAAGAACATACACCATGACACATTATTTTTTATGTTGTCCACAGACTCGTCCATAACTAATGAATAGACTAGGACGTCTTTACATGCTTTCACACTCATTATTATGCCATGACGCATCTATTTAGTGGCCTCCACATGAACCATATGAACTTTCTTCCTCTGTCAAATGAACCTGAATAAATTCTTCAACTGTATCAATGAGTCCTGGCACTAACATGACCTATAAAATGTATCAGACCAATTAACTAGCCTCCACATTGTACCTATGTTTCTACTGAAGAGCAGGGAAGGGATGAAAACAAAAAAATTCAAAAGAACAGATCGCCCCATACTGCATGCCTACGTAAACCACCACAGTGTTTAACGAATTGATGTCATTCCAAGCAAGAAAATACCCCACACCAGCATACCCAAGAACAAAGTAGATATATTTGATATTAGTTTATTAGAATGATGGAGCTCTTTACTAATGAGCGTACCCGTTTCCCATTTACGTTACGAAGCAACAGTAAGTAAAATAGCTTACATCCACTTACATTGTTCAAACCAAGATGCCAGATAAAATGAGACAGAGGTTGTACCTAGCTTAAATTTCCCTTATAGCTAGCAATATGAGACAAATTTTAAAAAGTTCAAATATAATATATGTTCAGCAATCAGTTCAAAGTATTTACATATCAGTTTGGCTGGTTCACTATATTTTCAGAAAAACAGCATCAAAGCCATGTATACATCACCTATAATTCGAATAAGAAATAAGTTTAAAAGATAATCATTCAATCAAGGTAAAAGTAAAATATTAAAACGTTTAACATACATTAACAAGATGCTAGGTGCCTCGATAAAACCTGATACAAGTGCCATGAACATAAGCAAGTTTCATGTATTTAAAAGATTCCAACAAAAATAATACACATTACACCTTTAGCTATAGTTGTTATACATTTATAACAGTAAATAGTTGAGAAACAAGGGTATCAAACCTTGTACACAGTTAGGAGAGTGGATTCATAGAAGCGAGTCTTCTTAACCTCCTTTGATACAACCATTGCCAGCTCCTTCTCAGTAGGTAGCCTTATGCGAGTGCTATTCTCCACAATGGCAAACAATTGAAGAATTAGACAATCTGAATGCAAGAATATAGCATGAATAAATAAAAGCTCTAGCAGCAAACTAAATCATATACCCAGGGATTATGTCCTTGAAAACAGCTAACAAAGACTTTAGACCAAGTATTGATGTAGCCTGATCTCCATCTTTACAGATTTGAAGCATCTCTTTTAAGGATTTAATATTGGCTTCAGGATCTGTGAGCATTGCTGTTCCGAGCTCAGCAAGCCTAAACTTCCTCTTCTCGTTGGCTTCTTCAGCTGATAGATCTTTTTCAACTTCAGCCTAGAGAATCATTATCATGTAAGATAGAGATGAATATACACAATGTATAAAACTACTCATGCAATTAACTTCCAAGTTGCAGAGGCAAAAGATAAGGGAATTGTATGGGTCAAAAGGGGACATCAAAGTGCAAATAAAAAAATAACGAGGCAAAAAGTCTCTCACTATACAGGTATAGGAATGGACCAATTTAATACAACCTAATCTTTACAAGTTAAGACGCTGCTTTCTTCAAAACAGTTATAGCAAATAAGTTGCAATAAGTGTACCAAAACATCAGCTTGAGAGCTTGGTTCCACTTCCTCTTCTTCCACCACCTCCTTCCCTTGTTTTTTTGCCTCTTTTCGCAGTTTTTTGAACTTTGCTCGTTTTTCTGCTTTTGTCAACTTCACAACACTGTTGTCTCTGCCTACGTCTTCATTTTCACCCACAGTCTCGTCCTCATCATGTGCACTCTGGAATTTATTTGGGGCCTTCGACACTACATAAAAAACGTCACCAAGAAATTCAAAAATCTTGATTCTTGATTAGAAAAATGTACAAAAGCAATTCTAAAAAAGGAAAATAAATTGAGGAAACAGTAGTTCCAAGTTACCTGTCCTGTAGTAGACTTCTCCATCTAAGGTCTTCACAGGGAGAGCATCTACAGGATCAACTTCGTGCTGAATATTTTCAGTAGCAGCTAATGATTTCTTCCTCAATCGTTTCTCATACAAAGACTCCAGAGCATCTTCTTTCACATCCGCAACACGGTTGACATGCCTTCCAAAATACACAGTGTTACCATATGAAAATTGAAAAAAAAGATGTTTGCAGAAAAACAAAGTCTGGAAATGAGAATCATGGTCTGTGGTGGCTTTTGCAATTATACCAGACATAAAACCATTTACATTCTTCTGCTAATGCCCTAGCCCCTAGCTACATAAATTTGGGACCAGTCTAGGGCAGTTGCCAAAATTTGGTAAGTAGCACATCAAACAAAATGACAGTTATACAATTGTTTCAGAATGACATTCTCTGTATTATCTTCTATAGAGATAGATGTTTGCAAACAACGTGTGATGAGACATAGCACAAATGTTGAGAAAATATCGACTGGACTTGCTCACCTCGTAATTGACTGAGTATCCAATTTTGATACGAAGCCAGCATACTCTTTGTTTCTATTGACAAATTCCAAGTCCTCATCCGAGACTTCAATTTCATCCTCAGGCACCTCTGGTGGAAGCTCTGGTGGTAGCACCACCTTCTGCTTCTGTTTTTTCTTCCCCATAGTATTTGTTCTAGTGTATGAATTGCTGTCTTGTTACTTCTTCACAGAAGAATGAAAAACAAAGTCAATTTTGGATCGAAGTGATCAAACCAAAGTCGAAACAGTTGCAACTAAGTTGATAAAGAGTGAAAATTGGAGCTTCAGACACATCTTAAGCTAAATTCCCAAGTAGCTAAGAGTTCCGTATCCAGTATTCATTACATAACGATATGGAGAAACTAACTGAACAAATCACAACAGAACAATTAAAAACTAGTTCATAAGCAATCATATAAACCTGCAACTTCATTAAAAACATGGATTTCTCAAGTCAAATCGAAATTTTGAAATGTTCACAACGCGTTTTGTGTGTTCCTACAATGGAGAAATGAAGATTTACCTGGTGATCGTGAAGATTCTGCGATGGAAGCAGACGATGAAGAATCGAAGACGGGGTTTAAGCAAAACCCCAAATCCGAAAAGAAAAGGAAAAATCGATACGATAACCTAATATTATCCCGCTGAAGCCCAATAGGCCCAATTTCTTATTGGTTTTATTTATTGGGCTTCAACATCAACCCTTTCCACTGGGCTGGGCTACAAAAGCCCAATTTTATAAACAACACAACCGAATTGAAACGAGTGACATACACCGTTTGAATGTAAACGACCTGAGTCGAGTTGAGTCGTATATTATCAGGATCAGGATCAAATAGTTTTTTTAATGTATTTGACCTCGAATATTTTTTGAGTTATCGAGCTTGGTGTTCGCAATCGATTAACCACAAAGGGTGGTGTCCAATTGGTTTGAGCTTGAGATCAAAAGTGTCTGGAGGTCCCAGATTTGAATCCAAGGAAAATTAAAAAAAATCCCATTATGACCACGGAGGTTCAAATGCGATGACTCCAGTCTACCCGCAAAACGGGTGGTCGCCTTGGGATTAGTCGGCTCGCATAGCGGGTTGAATATCCAAGTTAATAAAAAAAATCGTGTTGATTAACTCGTCTATTGGTTTGAGGTTGATAATTTTTGTATTTTTTATTTTGTGAGTTATGAACATATGAGAGTATGTTTGGCTCGAAACGCTGCTATACGATACTAAACACATGCTAAAATGTTATGCATATACGTTGAGCAACTTGCATGTTTTCAAGATAGAAATAATTGAGATTTCATTATTGAACACACAGTGTTGACAAATCAGTCTGTCATAATTGAACTAACCAATTACATGATTGTTGCTTGTACTGATGATATATGTTGTATACAGTTTTTTTTTGCAATGCATATCTGTGCATCTTTGTTGGTGCCCCAATAATAGTGTTGACGTCTGCCATATGACCCACCTCGTACATATCTATAACTAATTATTCACATTTTAACATCATTTTGTAAAACAAAGTGCACGCTAAAAATCTTCTAAAACACATAGAATGCAGCAATAAGTCTGAATGTACTAAAACACAGTTAAAAATAATGTGACATTTCTGATGGTACTAAACATAATTGTGACTGCAGAAAATTGATTAATTACTGTTTCACATGCTATTGCATGTAATGTAATTTCAAGTCATATGAAAACTCATCTGACTGTGTAGGAGGTAACCTGTAAATCGATATTGTACTTTCAAGTCATATGAAAACTCATCTAACTGTGTAGGAGGTAACCTGTAAATCGATATTGTACTGACACATATATGTGTGTACCGTATACACTAGGTCAATATGTTAGTATTACACCAAGAACTCACACTTCACCGTTTCTTTTGCCAAAATCATTCTCGTCACCTTTCCGCATCCAAACTAAACCACCCACCATCCTCAAAAATGTTACCGATGACCACATCCTTCGCCCCCTGCCCTTGCCCCTTACCCTCACCGTTATAACATCTCCCCCCCCCCCCTTTTGTTGTTCATTAGAACCATGTACCCTTACCTATGGAGACTTTCCCAATACCAGTTGTTTCTTCTTTATATCACTACTTACAGTAGATGTATTTTCACTATCATATAAATATTAATCAGTGTATTTCAATCGGTTTGTTCATATTCAGTGTTAATGACACAAATTACAAAGTTATGGCTCTGTTTGCCGTTCTTATTACTGGCACAAAAAAATAGATAAAAATGTCCTAAAATAAACTCTAAAAGCCCCCACCCACCCCAAAATAGATTTTGAGAAATCTGAGATTCAAATATTTATATAATTTATCAACTATTTGAACAGAAAAATAAATAAATGCAGACTAGAATTTTCTAAAGATAAACTGAAATTTATGAGCTCAACTGTCATCTTTAAGTAAAATTTCAACGTTTCAGATATAATTTTCTAAGTATTTTTTCTAGAATAAATAAATATCGGTTGGTGAAACTGGAAGTTGCATTGTAATCAAAGAAAACATAAGTATTGATGTCATCATTTAACATGTGTTAGGTATATTGAAACAACAACCCTAATAAAGTCATATGAATCAACTATATGACATGCATTTTTCATATTTATTTAGGTATATGCTCTTTTCATGTATCAAGTATTTGTTAAATATAAAGAAAATATATTTTTGTGTTATTTTTTAATACAGTTTTATGAGCATATTTAATGTTTAATAATACTGATAGTGAGAGCATAACATATATAATTATATATATCAACAACGTTAGTTTAAGAGAGAGGAAATCTGTATGATTTTCAACCATTAAGCAGTAAATTATTGAACTTGAATCATTAAGCTATAAATTTGTATGATAAAGTCAGTATGATTTTAAGAATAAAGAAAAGGTTGGAGTTAAAATATATATTTTTTAAATTTTAATTATCTGTTCGTAAGAAATTTTGAAAAATCTATGAGGAGGGCATCCGAACTGTTGTTGGGACAATTTTGTTAATAGGTTAGTGAGCTGACTCACAATTTATTTGGTAAGCTATTAATGATTAAGTAGTAGTGATTTAATGATATAGAAAGTGACTTATGCAAAAAGTCAATTTTTTTTTAACTTGTGTTTCCCAATTAAAAAGCATGTTTATTCCATCTATAAAAAAACCCTCCAAAACAATAACATTTACATTCTATATAGACAGCTTAATTTATACAGATAGTTTTACATATACCAAAACTTAATGAAAAACAACCTTAGAGGAAACCGGGCCACAATCCTCGAGGCCTCTTTCGAGCAACAACCAGTGACCACCACATCACCTCCCTCCTTTGTCAAAATTTCCTTTACATTTCTCCCTCGTTATTAGCATGCTAAACCCTAGTAACGATTACTAGCCATCGCCATTGTCAATCCCCCCTATCTGTCACCATCTCCGTCATCAACAAAACCCTTAGATGTCGTCGCCTCTATCATACATAAACCATCATGTCTTTTCCTTCCGCCACTGCATCATATTCCTTTGTCAATTAAAAGGATCCAAGTCTAATGGATTCCAATTCCGATCCCTTGATTTCAAAAATTACAGTGGTCCAAATCCAAAAACACAGAGAAATGACGAATTGAATAGGGGGTTACAAGAACATTCATGGAGAGTACGACCAATCACTGTAACGATGCTTTGAATTCGAAGAACGTATGGCATTACAAAGAAACTTGTTCGTGTTAAGGCTACAATCTCATATTAACGGTGATTTGAAACTTCATTGGACGACTGACAAGAATTAGAAGCTTGAATGACAACGAAAATTATTAGTTTTTCGGTTTTTTCTGAAAACGTTTCATTAATTTCAAGCAATTAAAACATTAAATGATACACGTACGAAACGAGATGCACAAAATTAAGTCGTAGTCCATTATTGTTGTCAATTTAACAATTCAATTGGAAAGTTCGACCGCTTATGGTGGTTGAAAAGCAATATTGCAGACTAATGTAAAAGCATACGAATTTAAATGGAATTCAATGGAGTTGAATCTTCAATTGTGAATATTAAACAACAAATAATGAAATTTAGACTGATACCATTCATGATAGAAATACTTGTCGTTTTAGAGGCCATTTATCAACCTAAATTAGATAAAAGGAAATTGGGTAATAGAACAGTCTAAGTCTGTATGAATTACTGATTGAGTAAGAAAAACTTGGTAAACATCATCTTTGATCAGGTTAACGCTTTTTACTCTAAAAGAAGCAGGTAATCTATACTATATTATAAAGCATTTGACAAAAACTTTTAAAAACCACTTTTTATGCGTAAAGTACTTTTATTAATGCATATTACTTAAAACTCAATATTGCAAGTAGATTGTGCGTAAGTACAATTTATTAAAGCTTCGTATTTGAATTCGTGTAACTAACCGCAGATAAACATATCATTTTAAATATAAAAAATCTAAAATATAATTAGGATAATCATTGAGTTATAACATAATACTTAATTATTGTCTGTTAAAATGTTTATATTATTAAACCAAAAATAAATTATTTCGTTATTAAACTTAAATTAAATTATAATAAAAAAATAAATTAAATAAATTACATAAAAATGAGAACAAATAAAATCGTATTATAACATCAACAGAGACAAATAATAAAATAGATCATTAAAACCGAGATGTGTCTCACTGCATTGCGCGATTACTCTTCTAGTAATTACTAACTTCTTAGACAAAAGTGATGGAGAATTAAGAATTAAGAAGCTTAAAAAATTGGTTGGTTTATCAGTTATCTATACTATATTATAAAGCATTTGACAAAAACTATTAAAAACCATCTTTTATGTATGGAGTACTGTTTATTGATGCATATTACTTAAAATTTGAGGTTATAAGTAAATTGTATATAAGTACAACTTATTAAAGTTTCATGTTTGAATTTGTGTAACCAACTGCAGATAAACATAATCAACTACATGATAAACATTTTATTTTAAATATAAAAAATCTAAAATATAATTAGGATAACCATTGATTTATATTTATAACAGAATACTTAATTATTATTCTTATAAAAATTATATTATTAAACCAAAAATAAATTACTTCGCTATTAAACATAAA